GCTTATACATACATAATCTTTTATCATACGGTATAGTTAAGGTTGATGAATGCAGAATACCTGCAATTGATAATGCTGACGCAACAGTATATAGTCCCTTCAGCTATGGGATACCAGTTGGAAAAGGTAGCATCGTAAGTGTCGGGAGTATTTTGCTAGTCAGGTGTAGATCTGGTTATATTGTCAAGTCAGTCACGCCTGGGACGGTCCAAATAGCAACGTGTACATATACAGGGTGGAACAGGACGATATTAAGTTGCGGTGAGTAACAACCTATTTATGCGTCTGAGTATATTGAAATATAAAAACGGTTGTTGTCATTATCACTATTATTATTATTATTATTATTATTATTATTATTATTATTATTATTATTATTGATATAATAATATCGGATAATCATCATCATCGTTTCCTTCTCCTCCCTTTTATCCTCCTCCTTCTCATCATCATAATTGTCATCGTCACTTTGTATTTTCATATCACCATCGGCATTTTACACGATCGATCATCATATTTGTCATCATCTTGTCTGAATATAGAGTGATTATTATTATTATTATTATTATTATTATTATTATTATTATTTTTGATATAATAATATCGGATAATCATCATCATCGTTTCCTTCTCCTCCCTTTTATCCTCCTCCCTCCTCATCATCATAATTGTCATCGTCACTTTGTATTTTCATATCACCATCGGCATTTTACACGATCGATCATCATATTTGTCATCATCTTGTCTGAATATATAGTGAATATTATTATTATTAATATTATTATTAGTCGGCAATTTTTACTTATTTCGAGATAGCTTCGAATGCAATGTTAACTATGTTATTTTGTTTCTTATGAAATATTAGTTCAATTGAAATAAGTGAACTATGTAGGCCTAAAAGTTTGTTAACAGTACATTTCTTCTCTTCATTTTCAGCCTAGGCCCAATTTGAAGTTTCTGACTGACATGAACGCAATCCAGTGAAGTTTATAATGCGTGTGTTAAGATAGGAATCATCTGAAAGTACCGCGATGTAATGATGATAGATAATAGGTATTGAAAATAGCATTTGATAAAAATAGTAACTGATAGGATATTCTTAAAAGGGTGGAGTATGAATGCACAAAGAGATGAAAACAGATATTAATACAGTTTATACAGTACAGTATTTTACGTTTTGATTACAGAAACTGGGCTAGGTGCGAATACTTGTATTTTAAAATTCGTTTCTTATTTCATAAAATATTTGATTGGATTTCAGATTTACAAAAAAAAAAAAAAAAAAATTTTCTACTACTTAGTTGATATGATTAAATTACTTTAATAGCACTATTGATTGGGTATTTTTTTCCAACAATCAATAAGCAAGGCTCTCTATAGAGGCAAGGTCCGAGTTACACTGAACGCAATTTCAGTGCGTGTCTTCCAGCTTATAAAATATTTGCAATAGCCAAAAAAAAAAAAAAAAAAATACTGGCCATCTAAATAAATTAGATGGCATATATAAAAATAGAATTATTAATGATTTAACGAATGTGTTGCATATTCCAAGCACCGTTTCTCAGAATGTATTTTATCTATTGTTTTTGAATGAGGTCGGGTATTTTTTCCCAACAGTCAATAAGCAAGGCTCTCTATAGAGGCAAGGTCCGAGTTACACTGAACGCAATTTCAGTGCGTGTCTTCCAGCTTATAAAATATTTGCAATAGCCAAAAAAAAAAAAAAAAAAAATACTGGCCATCTAAATAAATTAGATGGCATATATAAAAATAGAATTATTAATGATTTAACGAATGTGTTGCATATTCCAAGCACCGTTTCTCAGAATGTATTTTATCTATTGTTTTTGAATGAGGTCCAACATTATTTAATATCAAAAGTGTGGCATAATATATTTTCATGCCTGAATTTTCTTGTAAATTGACTTTGTCGATGGTCGTGGCAGAACGAGTATTTATAAACTGTTATTTGAATGTCGTCGACCTACTTCAGCAATAAATATTTAGCCATTTTTCTTTTTCGTTCATAATATTAATTTGTATCTGTTTGTGTATATACAATATTTACATGGCTTATTTGATAAATTAAATTAAATTAAATTGTACACCAAATAGCCTAGTGTTCGTTCTTCTTTTACTATTTAATAGGTCTACGTCATAGTTCACCGAACATTCTTCATTTATAAAAATATTGATATAGGTCTAAAACATTTAGAAATTTAAAATTTTAATTTAAAACAGACACCAAATCGATTATTTAAGGTTGAGCTAACACTTGTTGCCAAGCGAATTTCAATAAACAGGCCTAGGCCTATGTATGAAAAAAAAAGAAAAAAAAAAAAAAGAAGAAAAAAATGAAAACTTTTCCGTTCCCCCGTTCAGGATACCCGTGTACACGCATACGCAAGGCCTAATCATAAAAAGACAGAAAATAAAGAACAAGCAAAATATCGGCACCGAAATATACAGTGCACCTCCAATTTGAGACTCCCTCTAATTCCGAGACCCTTTGAGACCACGTGGTCAAGGAACCAAATTACAATCTTCAATTTATTATTACTATTAGCAGGGAGTTGTTATAACAACTCCCTGCTATTAGCTAACCATCTATGTGGAGACCGAACGCCGAGACCGCCACAAATGTTCAGGTTCCAAAGGTGGTCTCGAATTCGAAGGCGAGCAGCTAGCCTACGTTTAATCATGGTTTTTTATACCTCCATGGTTTAATCATGAGCTGGGTTCACGTCGAACTTTTATCTAGATATACATCCACTTAACTAGTTAAAAGTTCGACGTGAACCACTCAATTATAGCTAGTTAAAGGAATTAAGTCACTTAAGTTAAGTGACTTAACTTTACTAGAATAACGGTAAATTAACTTGCTTAACGGTAAAGTCGGCTCGGATTAAAAGGACACGATTACGTAACGTAGGCATCTAAGCCATCATTGTTGCATTGTACCGCCATTATCATCTTCTGGCTGGCAACAACGTACTTCAACAATGCTAACAACAGCATCAAAGTAGTCTCATTAGTCTGGTTTTCAGAAATTATTTGTAATATTTTGGGTAAACACACAGCAAACGTCCGTTTTACGAATAATCGATATTACCAATGACCTTTGGCCTTTGCATCATCGACCAAGTAATAACGTTAAAAAGTCCGATTGCGTACGTTTTTCAAAGTGATAATGTATATTTTTCTTAATAATAAAATCAGATTTGTTGTATTTATTTATTGACAATTCAACGCCAGTCGTTAAAATGAGCGCACATGTTTACGATGACGAAATAAAAAAGTGTGTGGAAGTCAGCAACTTATTTGACACCGCGAAGCTAGATTTCGCGAAGTGCATGTAAACAACACAATTGAGACAGAAAGGTCCATAAAGTATACATACGTTTTAATGAAAATTAAAACAATATTTTGTTAAATGGAAGAATGCTAGCTAGCGATTAAAAAAATTGGTTTTTATCGAAGTAAATGTAGCTAGGGCCAGGGCCTAGAGAAGCTACCACTTAGTAGAACACGCTACTGCACTGGTCGTTGGTTCATACTGGTCGGCTAGGTTAGGTAGTGGAAACTCACACCTTCTCTACAGTAGTTTACAATTTTTTTGAACGAATACCACTTGGTAACTAGAGGTTCGTAAAATACAGTAGATGTTTTATTAAACAAGCCTTTCGACCGTGTGACGTCGACGGCCTGAAACTGGCTGGCTGTTTATCTGGCTCTAACTTGGCATCGAACGCAATTAGGGGATTATCGTATCATGTTTCAAGACGGGTATATCTAGATAAAGTTCGACGTGAACCAAGCTATGGACCTATTAATAGGTCCATGGTTTAATCCTCTGAAAAATAATAATGCGAACAAACTGGTGCTCAATCAAAAAAACGAGCCAGACCGTTTGTAACCAGTTTCACTTCTTACAATTTGCATGGGCCGCTCAGTTCGTCTATTCTCGTTGCCGAGTGACAGGATGCTTACCTTTTTTTCTTCCATAAACAGCGGCGTACTATTTGAAGAAGTAAAGTACACTTTCTTTTGTTTGTTTCCAAAATTATTATAATTATTATATCCTAGAGAGCTAAGCCAGGACATAAAAAGAAACCTAGAATAGATAGGAAGAGACGTGGCGCCAAGTAACATGGGTAGGCCTAGGCTGGATTCTCTCGAGTAGGCAGGAGTCGAGTAGGCAATCAGGATTTTTTCTCACAACAAAAGACAGCTTGGGATATGACCGGTTGAGCTGCCGACAAGTTGAGCCGCCGGTAATTTCTATGGAACGCCAAGCGCGTCTCTCAGTGAATGTAGTGCGTCTCTCAGTGAATGTAGTCGGCTTGCCGATGTCATCAATGAATGAACCCCCCGGATACCAGCTACATATTCATCCCACAGTCTCTTGTCAGTCGTTGATTTGCTCGTATTGCCATTTGTGATGTATAATTGTGTAATTGAAAATTAGAGTTTTGATTATTTTATGTACTACATTTTTATAAAAATAAATGAAGTTGTATAATTGCAAATCATATTAAAAATGTAATTCTATGTACTACATTTTTATAAAAATAAATGAAGTTGTATAATTGCAAAATGTATTAAAAATGTGTTTATTTACGTTTGGTTTGCGGCGAATTTCAATTAACTTATTCGTTATTTGTACTATTTTGTTAAATTATTTAATTAAATTATTGATAAATGATAAGAATGTATGGAGTTTTTTTTTTACTATCTGGCAAGCTGACTGAGCAAATACTCACAAAATTTAAATTAAAATGATAGAAAGAACAAGTAAATAAATTGAAATACGTCCCAAAAATATTTAATAAATCAGTGCAAAAACCGAGTATTTAATAAATTGAAATAATTGAGTAAATAAACTGAAATACATCCCAAACAACAGTACCAAGAACGAATAACTTAATTGAAATACGCCGCAATTAACGCACTACATTCACTGAGAGACAACGCTTGGCGTTCAATAGAAATGACCGGCGGCTCAACTTGTCGGCGGCTCAACCGGTCATAATCCGACAGCTTCACTCTGCGTAAGTAAGTCTTACACAGTGAGACTTTGGCTTTTTTTTAAATGTATGTATAACATCTTGTTTTATGTCTTGTGAAAGGAATTGCCACCGTAATGAGTAGGACTTTATTTTAAAGTTTGTTATTTGCAGTCTTTGTCCTGTGTCTACATAATGAATACACACTTCATTACTTTATTTGTTTCTGTTTTTGTGCAGCACTTGATGTATTGCTGCAGTTACTAGGATCAATTATTTTAATTATGTTAGCTGCTGAATTACAGCTACAAGGGTCCTTTGAAGAAGCTGCTTGTAAAACTTTTGATGGTCATAAAGATGAGGTGAGAAACTTTTAAGCAAAAGCAGTACACCATAATAGTATGTGTGTTTTTGCTAAAAATACCAATTTTGTTTCCATAATTCTATAATTGCCATCTTGCCACCCAAACAAGCGTCCCCCTGAGAGTTTATAGGCAAGGTACTCACAGACTTGGCCTATCCAGCCTTCTACGAGTATTGAAATTGGGGTGGCTGATGGTGAGGGTGCGTAGGTGAAAAGGGAGGGCTTGATGATTAGGTGATAGTCAGGAGGCATTTGTCATTTTTTTGGCCTTATTTCAATTATTTAGCCAAGTTTGATTTTTCACTTTTATGTGATCAATGACACCACAACAAACAATTTTCAGCTTATTGTCCAATTTGTAGATTCGTTTTTCACTCGTTGGGGGCGCTTTAAAAAAATGGCGGTTTGTGATATTGGTGCCTATATCTCGGCAACCACTGATGGTAGAAGCTTCTAAATGGTCTCAAAATGGTCACAATGTATATATTACTATTTGCGCTAATAGAACATTTTGCTGAAAAATGGCCGGAAATGCCATTTCCGGCGATTTGACCTTTGACCCTGTCTCTTATACACATCTAGATGTGTATAAGAGACAGGAAATATTTAACATTTAACATATACTGTAATACGTACAGTACTTGTTGTTTAGCTGTAGTGTACAGCAAATTGTATTACTGTACCAATAAAATGAATGCTTTTATATTTTTTTACGTGCACTTTCGGTCTTAGTCAGGAGGCATTTGTCATTTTTTTGGCCTTACTTCAATTATTTAGCCAAGTTTGATTTTTCACTTTTATGTGATCAATGACACCACAACAAACAATTTTCAGCTTATTGTCCAATTTGTAGATCCGTTTTTCACTCGTTGGGGGCGCTTTAAAAAAATGGCGGTTTGTGATATTGGTGCTTATATCTCGGCAACCACTGATGGTAGAAGCTTCTAAATGGTCTCAAAATGTTCACAATGTATATATTACTATTTGCGCTAGAACATTTTGCTGAAAAATGGCCGGAAATGCCATTTCCGGCGATTTGACCTTTGACCTTGTATGCTCATATCTCTGTAAATACTAGTCGTACAGACTTGAAATTAATTTCAAATTGTTCGCAATATGTATATTTATGTTTACTTTAATGAACATGTTTGTTCAGAAATGCCAGGAAACGTCATATTTGACCTTTGAAAAAAATAAGTTTGTGTTTGTATACTGTATTATATAACTGATAGGCCTAAATACTGTTTTAATTTTAAATAAATACTACATTTCTGTACGATTTATCGGAGGTCCAATGGTTATATTGTTTTATATCAGATCCAATGGTAATACTAAGTTTTGATATAAATTAAGGCCACTCATTGTCCACATACAAAATACAGGTTTGTGATTGGCTGAAAGTACATGCAGACTAGAGTACAGGACATTTTCTCATGGTAAGTGTTTGTACTTCGAATACCACTTTTATTGGCAAATAATAATGATAATTACTAGTATAAATGGACTTTGTTCAATAATGTACCTATGGTTATATAAATATAGTTTAGATAGTCATTTAATTACCAATGACTAGTTCCAAGCCTAGGCCTAGGCCTACATATCTGGCTAGCGTGGAGGAGCCCCTGCAGTGCCAGGTCAATATAATGCCAGGCCAAAAGATAGCATTCAGATAACAAAGTTTACTCCAACAGTTAGGATATCACATTACAACTCAAGTATGAAATCAAATCACTTTAAAGTGAAAAAATACAGTAGAACCCCTCAATTAGTAAGTATTGCAATCATTATGATGAATTTAGCACAAAATCAGCGAAATGCTAGGCCAACTTTTAAATTGTTTTTCGTAGAGGCAGTTTAAAGCCATTTTGGGCTAGAGAGGCTGACACCTAGGCCCCCTACGAGTGAACCCTGATTTTACAAATTTTCACAATTATGAACGGCGCTGGGCCGAGGGGTTCTACTGTAATGGTGTACAGTCTTTATCCTTGAAAGTATGAGAGCCCATATTGACAAGATCTAAATAATAATAATAATAGTGTTGATGTTAGGATAAGAATGGAAATATAAAAGCAATATTACTATTGTTATTTTATTTCAAAACACATTACCTGTGTAAAGGTCCGATAATCAGATCCACTCATGTTTTTTTTTCTTTTTATATCAGTCATGACAAAGAACCAATCTACCAATCTAACATGCAGAAATGCATCATATGCGATGAAGAAAAAAACGAATTATTTTCAAAAGCAAGTGAAACATCTTTAAACGCAATTCAATCATTTAGTCGAAGATGGGCAATACTTGGAACAAAAAATGATATTTGTGGCCGCGTTAAGCATTTGACATATAACCAGACTACACAGTATCATTATCATAGAAAGTGTTACATGTCACTATGTCATCAAGCTAATCTTGTGAAAGCTAAAAAAAAGTATGAAGGAGGTATATCAAACAACAGGAAACGTGGAAGACCTAGCCAAAGTCCTGGACCTTCATCTAGTAAAACCAGAAAAACATTTGATAGTGCACTATGTGTCTTTTGCCAGATTAGTGATCGTGGTAAAGCTTTTCAGGTACGCAGTGATAGTATGGGAAGCAAGTTTTTGCAGATTAAGGAATTCAGTAAAGATGCCAATGTCCGTGCACGACTAGCTTTGCTCTGTGCACCCAGGGATGCATTTGCCAAAGATATTAAATATCACACAAACTGTTTAAGGGTAGAAACTAAAAATGTCGAGTCATGTACAGTTTCCAATGACCAATCTGAGTTTGATGCTACAGGAAAAGCCATATGTGACATCGAAATAGTCAACATAGTCCGAGCAGCGATTAAAGATAATGAAGGATATCCTGGAATTGATATGAATTCTATCAACAGTGCCTATCTAGCACTCCTTAACGAATATAATATAGAGACTCGGTATACCAACTACAAGCAATATTTGAAGTCACTTTTGGTCATGGAAATTCCTGAGCTACAATTCGTTAAACATGGCCCTAAACCAGATATTGTTTTCTCAAAAGCAGATAAGGACAGACTTCTCGCTAATGTGTATGTGAACACAAATCCAGATGAGGAGATGAAGGTTCTGAGTAAGGCTTCGCAAATCATTAGAAAAGAAATTGAAAGTATGAAAGAATGGCAATATACTGGCACATTTGATGATTTTGAAACGCCTCGAAAGTTATTACAGTTAGTAAGATGGATTATATATGGATCACGAACTACACTAAGTGTGAAAAGAGAAACAGAAGCTGACAAAATGTCAAGAAATGTAGCCCAACACATCATATCTTCCTATAGGTCAAAGCGTCAGGTCATGTATGAAGCCAAAATTGAGAGCGGTTTTCAAAAGGATAAAAAGACGCCATGGAATGTAGGTTTAGCGTTAACATCATATCAAGCAAACAGATCACGGTCAGATGTGGAAACCCTGTACAATGTAAAAGCAGCCACAACATATGATGAAGTAGAGTGAACTACTACGAGGATGGCAATGGCCGTAATACAGGACGTAAATAGCAATAACCAAGGAGCACATGTGCCTCCATTTGTGAAAGGGGGAGTAAGGCCATTATTTGCGATTGATAACATTGACTGGGGTAGTGAAGTAGGCCCATTCCATGGAGCAGATTTAATGATAGCACAAAGAGAGGCTGTATCAAATCCGGTTCTGGGTTGTAAGTTGAAACTTAATGTTGATATTAAAGAAAGATCTCTGAAGCAGTCATTGGAAACTGTATATTGCAATTGTGAGAAACCAAGCAACCCAAGAGTTGAACATGAAGGTCATACCTACCAAGTCTCCCGCATTTGGCGGGAGACTCCCGCTTTTCGCCCTAACCTCCAGCTCTCCCGCCACTAGCCTAAAATCTCCAGCTTTTCTAATAATCTCAAGATTTTTTTTATAAAAACCCACAATTTAATACAAAAAGGTGACAATTCTGTAGTTTTATAAGGCATATAAAATCTACGAAAGTTCTATCGCTTCGCGAAAATACATGCCGTTCCGATAGTAAACAATGTATTCGTGTAAAATTAACACTGGTGGTGCTGTACACATTACGTCATTTCTATTTTAAAGAAAGCTATGGGTGCAACTTGGGCATACAACCAGTTACATTCATCAAAAGAGAGCAAATGATGCTTCAGCCTCTCTTTTACACAGATCTCCTTTTCTGTTGAACTTATTTTACCAAAAGAATTGTTTGTCAAATGTAAAACGTGTATTTGAATATTTTGAAAATTTTGTTGAAAAAAATAAATAAGAGTTTTAACACTGAAATAAAGCTATAGAATTTTATTTTTCAAAAAATGTTAGTATATATTACCCCATTTTTAAGATTTAATTTGAGCACTAGAGATCTGCTCAGAGTGCACCAGAGAGCATCTAGGCCTAAAAATTTCCGGGGCCCTAGGCGGGCCCTCGACCCACGCCTAAATTGTTTCGTTCCTGTGCAAATCTCCATCCACAGCCAAGCTCAAACTTGGCATGTATGGAAGGTTATAATTCGTATTCACGGGAAAAAATTAGTAATGTCTATGAACAAATCAATGTTATTTGGCTATTTATGTGTAGTTGGGCTCTTAAAGATAACCAGAAAAAAATAGATGACGATAATGAAGATGAAATAAAAGAAATTATGGAAGATGATGATAAAGTTGTGGATACAGAAGCAAAATCAAAAGTACATGAACAAGCGATAGATAAAGGAGGTCAGTCATCAGAAAAACAGCAGACCACCATCTGTTATACACCAGACGAAAACACTTCAAACGAGTCGGAACTTACAGCTAGTAAACATGAATTAACATCAGATGAAGAGCCTAATCTAAATAAAGTTGTGGAAACAGAAGCAAACTCAAAAGTACATGAACAACAGATAAATAAAGGAAGTCAGCCGTCAGAAGAACAGCAGACCACCATTGGTCATACAGTAGACGAAAACACCTCAAACCAGTTGGAACTTATAGCTACTAAGCATGCATTAACATCAGAAGTGCCTAATCTAGAATCATCAACAGGATGTGAATTTACTTCCAAAACGATGAATCAGAAACAGGTTGATTGCCCAACATGGTCAACATTCAATTCGTTAATATCACAAAAGGTTCCTGAATGGAATGTTGGGATTGCAGCGCCTTTGTATAGAAGAAGCCCCACTGAATGGCCCGTTCTCCTTACAATATTAATGCAAGCAAAGAAGATTAATTGTGTTACTGCTGGGGAAGGTTGCAGACCAATTATTTCACTAGATGGTGATTTGTATGATCGGGCAGTTAAGCTAAAGAACTACAAAGAACACTGGTGCATCAGACTAGGAGCTTTACATATAGCAATGGCAGCTTTAAAATGTCTCGGTAAATATACTGAAGGTAGTGGAATAGATCTAGCATGGGAAGAATCAGGTCTCTACGGATCTGCAACAGTACGACAGATCATAGAAGGACGCCATATATACAGAGGTATTAAAGCACATACGGTGACACTTATTGCATTACACCATTTGTTCATGCAGACAGTGTTCAACGAAACTGAAAGAGAAGAAATAACACACGAAGTTCAGAAAGTTATGAATTCTTTTGAATCATATCACAATGCGGCAACAGGGACAAAATCCACTAAAACATTTCAGGATCATATCTATGAAATGCACAAACAATTATCTTCGAAAGACAATAACGTATTCAGACGTATAACTGAATGGGAGAAACATGGAAAAGGTATCCAAAAGTTCCTCATCAACTATATGAATCAAGTCCAAGTACTACTGATGTTTATTGGAGGAACACGAAAAGCAGACTGGACATTACATTTGAGAAAACTAGAGGAGTTACTACCTTACTTTCATGCCCACGATCAGTACAATTATGGCCGATGGGGACCACTGTATGTTGCAGACATGCTTGAAATGCAGAAAACTGATGCTGAAACGTGGAACTTCCTTAATGAAGGAAATTTTGTTATTACCAAACATGCTGTGCCATTTACATCGATAGACCCTGACCATGCAATTGAACAAGAGCATAAAAAAATGAAAGTAAAAGGTGGTTTCGTTGGTATAACAGGCAATAAACATGCTCTTGAGAAATATTTCATCATAGCTCCTTCATTAAGCACAGCCGTCAGTGAGTTCAAAGAGTATTCTGGTATTAAATGCAGGCAACCATCTCCACTTCATCATGAGTTGAAAGGAAACAAAAGTTTAAAGATGATGGAAAATGCTGCCAAGCTTGTTGATGTCCTTGCCAAGGAAGGTAATCCATTTCAACAAACGGACATGTTCAATCTAGTGACATTTGTTGTAACCTCAAATGAAGTGGGTCAAACAATTGCAAATCGCGACAAATTAGGAAAAGATGCATTTGATAAATTTGTGTCAACACGAATGGTTGAAAAAACCGTACACTTTTGGGACCCTCAAAAGAAAAACAACTTCTCCTACTTCAAGGATGTCGGAGCAGTGGCAAAAACTAAAATTAAAGGTCAATTAGTTTCTATAAAACAAGAGAGGAAGCTGCTATCTAGATTGTTGGTTGTGGCAAAGAGCAGACCAGAATTTGCGCTTAAAGATGTCATAGGAACATACGAGTTCAACTGCACGCCACCGTCAAATTTTCATCCTGACGGAGGAATGATAATGCTTTCTGGGAAATCAAAGGTACTGCAGTCAATCATGAACCTTGCTCTACCGGATAATGTTACCAAACCTGCACAAAATGACAATACCACAAAAATATCAATTTTAATTATTGATGGGATGTGTATCGTCATTATGGTAAAGAAGGTATCTGATAAGTTCAATGCTTCTGACTTTGCATCTGAGTGTATTAACATGATCGTTGGTATGAGTAAACCATATGATGAAATTTGTGACCAGTACCTACCAGGCTCTCTAAAAGAAATTACACGAGATAAGAGAACAAAGAAAACGACTACCATCCAATACCACGTAAATGACAACACAGAGATCAAAAACATTAAGACATTTTTATCGCACATAGAGACCAAAGCTGAACTGACAAAATATCTATCAGAGAAGTTACTTAATCATTTCAAGGACACCACCAAGAGAGTTCTAGTAATGTATCACACTACCATAAAGGCTAATTGCGATTTGTCAGAAATTACCACGATGCCAGAGATGAAATCAAGACATCATACTTTAGAGGAAGGTGACCAAATGGTTTTGCTAAATACTTTGATTGTTTGAAGAAAAACCAGAACGCCATTGTTAACATATTTTCCGTGGATACAGATGTATTTATTCTTTTGACGGGAAGCTATCCTATGCTTCCTCCAATGACAACCTTTTGTAGGAAACGAGGTGAAAGGATATCTATCTGGGAATGCTATTACAAACTTGGAAAACAAATATCAGAGGCATTGATTGGATGGTACGCATTCAAAGGTACAGATAACACCGGGACATTTGCTGGAAAAGGAGTAGTAGCACACTTCAAAGCGCTTATGCGATGTGACGACGAAATACTAGATGCATTTGCTGTATATGGACTGAGCTGTGATATACCAGATTTGATATTCAGGCAAATGGAAAGGTATGTGTGCCTTCTTTACAGCACCGCAAAGATCAAGGCAGATAATGCGAAAGACCTGAGATGGATGTTATTTGCACAGAAAGGTAAAGAAGGACAGCAATTACCTCCAACCATGGGAACTCTTAGACCACACGTGGAAAGGGCATACTATATGGCCCTGGTATGGAAGTCGTCACGCAAACCAAATCCGTCTATTCCATCAGCAACAGGATACTCATGGAAACTAGAAGATGTTAATTTAAAGCCCATGTTCTGCGAAAATCCACCAGCACCAGAGGCTCTTCTAGAAATGCATAAATGTACTTGTAATGGTTCATGCTCAACCAATCTTTGTGGGTGTAAGAAGAACAATTTTCTCTGTACTGATGCATGTGAATGTGGTGATAGATGTGAAAATACAAAGGACTTTACAACAGAACTAGTAGATGATATTGATGAACTTTATCGACTGGATTGGTAAATGGCAACCTGATCATAAGATTGTTGGTCATACTACTTTTATAACTTTTAAACAATATTTCCTACCGAAGAAATTATTAATATAAATGTTATAACACTTTTATGACCAAAATACCTTATCTAAGTAAAGTCAGTAAAGGATATACCCTAACCGGAACGCATTTTGTATCAAAGGTCAAATATGACGTTTCCTGGCATTTCTGAACAAACATGTTCATTAAAGTAAATATAAATATACATATTGCGAACAATTTACAATTAATTTCAAGTCTGTACGACTAGTATTTACAGAGATATGAGCATACAAGTTCAAAGGTCAAATCGCCGGAAATGGCATTTCCGGCCATTTTTCAGCAAAATGTTCTATTAGCGCAAATAGTAATATATACATTGTGAACATTTTGAGACCATTTAGAAGCTTCTACCATCAGTGGTTGCCGAGATATAAGCACCAATATCACAAACCGCCATTTTTTTTAAAGCGAACCCAACGAGTGAAAAACGCATCTACAAATTGGACAATAAGTTGAAAATTGTTCCTTGTGGTGTCATTAAACAAATAAAAGTGAAAAATCATACTTGGCTAAATAATTGAAGTAAAATACAAATGCCTCCTGACTATCTGGTTTTTCTAATTAAACTGAAAACACAACACATTCTTCCTGGTAACGACGATGCGACTTGTTGTAAAATATCAGGTCGCGCCTCCTAAACTCTGCCCGCTAATTGGTTAATTTTTTTCGTGGGGTCATGTTGCTGGGCAAAAATCCCATATGCTTGGCTGTGGTGACGTCAGATCGCCCAAAGTTTCATAGTGCGTGACAGCTTGCTGACAGAGGACAAGCTTAGTGTAAACCGATACTTTTTTAATTAAACAAATTTATTAAAATGAATAAGAAACCCTCGTGGTTTTGTTTTATTTTAGAGTAAAATCTAAAAATAAATCTAACAAATTAAAATTGAATTCTCTGCAAATTCCCTCCGTAATTAGCAATGTTTTTGGGGAATGTGAGTGTAATTTACATGTAGACTGATATATGAATCTAATGACATACCAAATCCGAATTAAACGTCTACTGAAAAAGAGCCGTCGTAGAAACGATTGCTTTGCGTTCCTTTTTCATTTCAGATTGATTACAGTCGATTTTTAAGTATTCATAGGCGATAATACACTTTATTAAAACAATGGAAGGTGTAACTTTGACTTTATCCAACTCCGTGCTTTATCTAACATTTTACTGGCGTGGCGTTTTAATTAATAGATAATCTCCATGGCAATGTTATTGGGACTGTACGAACGGTTCATTTCGTCTGGAAATCGTTGCGTTGTTTATTAACTTTTTGTCCCACGTTGCATTGTGGGATGGATACATGACATGGATGTTTTAACTTCACA